GATTGGAATGGTTTTCTTTATCACTGTAACGCTACGTCCACATTGCAGCTTTTCAAAAATCTTGAAAATCTTGGAGCTGGGCGTGTCTGAAAGCTTGGGGATCTTTTGCGAGCAACGAGACCAACAACCAATCACATGAATCTCCCGCCCCCGACATACTAAGCAAAAAACCCCGGGGATTTTATGCGAGCGATATATATATATATAAACTCCCCAAACAGGCGAAAACCTACCAGTTTCACCCACTGTCTCTGCCACCTCCCTCCATGCCTGGTTCCTCCGGTTTGTATCCCGTTAATAGTTCTGGTCGTAAAGAACCGGGTGATTTGCTACCGTCATTTCTCGTTTGGAATATGAGGAAATGAACTGCGGTCTGGCTCTCCCTGCTTACACGCGGTTTGATTGGCTAGCGCTTCTACTGTCAGATTTGCATAAACGTGATTTGATTGGCTGACGCTTCCAGCTCAGCTTCAAAAGTAGAACATTGCTCAACTTTTGAATCCTGGAAATCCTGGAAATCTTCGCTTCGCTCCCCCACAATGCAGTTCGGCGACAAGCGAGGCAAAGTGACGTCACCCCCATTCAAAGTCAATGGGCAGAGAAGCGTTGGAAGCGGTTGAAGATTTGTTTAAAGCTGCAGTGTGGACGTACCGTAACAGTTGGGTTTATCCATGCTCGCAGTAAGGCTCAAGGGAAGGCAGCTGTGATCTTTCTTTCCTGACTGAAATATTCCAACATTCAATGGATGGACCGTCCTGACATGTGGTCAAGACACTCCTGTTTCAGTGAATCTAGTTTCAAATGCTCACTTGTATTCATAGAGCACTGCAGGGTCAGACTCCTGCACATGAGCTGAATGGTAAATGCACTTTTCCAGTCTTTGCAACTCCTCAAATGACTTTTACAGAGACAAGTCAGCATTCACACATACTCATAGGTGCCACATGCTAAGAGAGACTAACATTAGAACATTATCTTTCCCAAGGACAAGGGCTGAAGATCAAAACCAGCCATCTTCTGTTGGAAGACGACCATCTACCTTTTAAGCCTCAGCTAACCCTACTTTGATCAAATATGGTTCATATACTGTCCCTCAGTGGTGAACCGTCAGGGCCTTCAAGGTATTCAGAGAATACCCTGAAACACTCAGATAAAACAAACAAAACATCGATTTAATTATATAAATACAATTTTATCAAATGTAAATAAAATGAATAAATGAGAATGGTATCTGTGTTGTTGATCTGTAATATGACAGCTGTAAGGGAAACTTCTGCAGCAATGGAGAGTCAGGACTCAGAGAGACACGAGGAGAGTTGGAGCTTTGATGTCAAACAATGATAGTTTATTACAAGGATACGGCCGGAGAATTCATATCACAAGTCACAGCAGCAAAAGGTTCTGACTGCACGGTGGGTTGCCATGTCAATTCTGATCCGCCTCGCATCTCGATAGACCTTTTAACAGAGAGTCCAATCCGCATATTGGAGATGGGCGTAAACATCTGGAGACACAGGAGATGTCTCTCACATCTGTGGAGCTTAGAAAGCCAGCGTTCCCACAGTCGTAAACTCCCCTATCAGGTCAGGCCATACAACTTGACACTAAGTGCTGGAGCACATTCCTTAAAGCTGGCGTCACGAACAGGATTTGTTATTAACGTCAACAGGCAATAAGGTTAAATATCTTAGGAGTAAGGAAGAAATATTCTCTAACAACAGTGTTATGTTTTGTCTCTCTCGGTCCATGCACTACGCATTTCAGTGGTTTTGTGTTAGAAAGAAAATGCAACCAATCAGACATCTTTCTGGGTCTCTGGGTAGAATATCCTTCAACCAAGGTATTCTACATCCTTGATCGAATGCCCTGGCCGTTGCACTGAATGAGAGCGTTTGGACTGACGGTTTGATCAACCAATCATATATTGATTTGTAGCCAATGGGCGTGTTCTTTCAGAGTTCCCCTCGGTGCCAGTTGCTCTAAAAGGCCCGCTAGTTCACTGGAGAGACAGAGGATAAATGTGACAAAGCAATTCATTTGCCGTTTTATTGTTTTTAACGTTGAAATGGCAACAGGTGAAGAGGATAAGGTTGTGGAATTGTTGTCAGTACCCTTTTCAAGACGGCAATTCAGTGAAAAGACGGACATTATAACGGCGGCGGCGGGGGGGGGGTGTGTGTCTACAAGAAGGTCCCGTTGTGATAGACATGGTTTGCCTTAAGATGTGTGGTGATCTGGCTTTCAATGAATTACACGATAACCTGGAACACTGCAACACTGTCTGTGTGATCAGGTGTTCATACTGTTTGCTTTCTGGAGCTTTAGGCAAAATGTAATTAAACAACATTTTGAGGTTGTATGGTACTTGAAGGCGGCAGGGAATATACAAAATTCACAGAAAATTGAGGGAGGGGAAGACAGCTCATATCTGCCCAAGGACTTCCTACTGTTTTAATCCGGCCAAGCTTACAAAGCATCCTTGTGTCCGCAGATGTGCTGTAAGATATCCTCCATACGTGTTCCTCGTTGGTGCCATATGCCTCCTGGAGGAGTCATAAGAAGGCTTTGTTATCCAGTGAGCAGAAAATAGAGCTGGAAAATCATTTATTTGGGGATTTATGTGATAGCAAAGCTGTGTCAAAGATATTTCGCTAATGACATTTCTTTCTGAGTTGGCAGATCCGCGCCGTAACGGCCGAGGCCTGGGTGAGATCAGAGAGGGAACGAGAGATGAAAGGGAGTGAGGGGAAGTGTGGAGGCGCTTAATGTGGATTTGAGTATAACTAAGGATGGATGGAGGGATTTGGGTTCAATACGGAAAGATAATAAGGAAAAGAAAAAATGCACATGGAAGTAATGCGGAAATGAAATCTCATAAAGCAGAATCTATTAGTCTGACAACAATAAGCCTCTAGGCTCAGTAGTTTGAGGATTCTGCGTATAATCTGCCCTGTACTTCCTGTCTGAGACAATAGGAGCAGTGTGGCCCCAGAAGTAGGAACAATGCATGATAAACAGGGATCTGTCAAAGACTAACAAAAGACAAGGACTTGAATACAAGCAGAACTCATATAGAGACACAGCAGGTGAACGAATAAGGCTGACGATCACACAGGCATGAAAACACTTTTTCAGGATACACTACATGGCCCCGTCTTTTTGGAGCGGAAGAAATACCGAATAACCATACAAAGTGAACTGTAAGGCTGTGCTGTCGGTAAACCCTTTCCATTTACCTTTTGTCTTAACATCTAACATGAAATAATATACCTCTTATCCTAAATCCATTACATGTGTCTGGCAGTGGCGTTGGCAGCAGTGAGCTCGGCTGTGGTTGTCTCCGTGTGTTTTCTGTAAGGAAAGAAACAACAAGGTTAAACACAAAGTAGACAAGATCAGTGGCGTTTTTATATGTGCACAAGTGGTGGGGCACGAACAACCAAATGTGCCAACTGCTAGGACTGTCTTAGGGAAGATGGCTTTCAGATGCGCAGCTCCTCTGTCTTGGAATAGTCTGCAATTAAAATGGAAGCTGAGCAATCTGGTGCCACTAAATGTTTTTAAAGCTTTAAAGCTATTCACTCGGAAGCTGTTGGTGCCTGCTCATGTGGATAGTTATTGTAAATTGTAAATCCCTGTAATGATGCTGTAAGATGTCCTTTTTGTTGTTCAGTTTATGTTTTGATGTTTCATGTGGAACTACTTGAGCAGGTCTCCCTTGAAAAAGAGATCAATGAGCTCAATGGGATTCACCTGGGTAAATAAAGGTTTGAAATGAACAACTTAGATGTGTGTATAAAAGCTTCTGGTGCTTTTTTAAACACGTAAATAAATAGCTGTATCCATGGTTCCGATAGAGAGAGAGCGGGGGGGGAGACACTCATCACGAGGTCACAATATCAATGGATCCAGCAGAGCAATAGCCTATGGGCAAAACACAGAAGATCAACAAAATATATGACATGAAATGAACTTACCAAATCTGAAGCAGATGGTCAGCTTCATTTCACTGATTGTAATCGCTGTACGCTCTCTCGTCTCCTCTTCACTACGGGGTGAGAACTACGCTTTTCGTGGCACACGTACTTACAGCCAATCAGCTCTCTGTTTTAAGAGATGACGTTTGGTAGGTATGGCAGCTCAATGCCCCTATGGGGATTATTTGTTTGCCGCACACATTGAATAGGAAAATCCTCTGAGCATGCGCAGTGTAGTTTTTACAGAACCCACTCACTTTGACCGTGAGAGAGAGGGGCTTGCCCCACGTCGCTCAAAACGTCTCGATAGGCACACTGTAGACACTAATTAGAAGAACGCAGACGGCAGCAATGTACAGACGAATCAGATGATTAAACACATCTTAAAATATATTTTAAGATGTGTTTTTTTGCATTCTTTTTTCATTGTTATTTGAACTACTTTCTGCTGACACTAGCACACTGGCTGTGTGCACTTCTTTTTCAGCCCCCTTATCTGCTGTATGAGGGCAGGCGTATTGATGCCAGTTAGTTAAGGGCCAAACTCTATGCTTCAAGGTACCACAATGAATACAAGTGCTGTTGAAAGGAACTGTGGAGAAAGGGCAGTGAAATAACACTTATCCGGTTCAAGGCAAAAACACATACGTTTTAAGTAGTAAATACTTTTGATTGGTCTTACTAAACCCCATTTAGAAATGTTTAGCATGTTGGTATCTAGTTTTTGAAGACAACCTCACCTATATAAACTGATAATTATTTTTTACATTTTGACATACTATATGAACATTTTGGATGCAAAATCGCACTAAAAACAGTTAACAATATAACTATCTTATTATATAATATATAACAAAAATAATTATCTCAGATATTTATCTACTAGCTGTTGCACAACGGATTCAAGTTGCTAAAAAGGATTACACTTTTGAACAGTCAATTAAGAAGGAACTGAGACCGGAAATGAAACTTTGGTACCATTTTGAGAAATAATATGCAAAGAGAAACTCCAGGAGACAGAGGTTGAAAAGCTATTTCACTTTTATATGACACTAGAATGACATTTAAGAAAACAGAAAATAAAACCCACATGCATTTTGGAGAATGGAAATCAAGTTGGGAACATGAAGGGGGAAGAAGAGAAAACATACACACTCCAACACTCTTTGAATACATGAATACATCATCATCCTTTCAGTGGCCTTTGAATCTCGCTGGTATTTTATTCTAATACATGAAGTCATAAATATAATCTCCTCTCACCATATTGGCTATACGAGTCTCTAACTGTACATCTACTTTAGCATATTGCATATCTCGAATAGAGGGGGGAATCAATATTCATTGTATACTCCGGCCTCCCTGTGGACGGGAGATAATGTAATTGAATGAGAATTAGGACAACAAGAAGACGAAGTAGAGGAAGAGATGAAGACGGATCTCATCTCAAACCACTACAGAAGCATCCTGCAGTGTGTTGACGTTGACATCTTTGTATATTTCTTACTGTACGCATGTGCTTACATATGTGGTGTGTGTGAGTGCATATAGGTCCAACCTGAGGTCTACCTGCTCTGGGTTTTCATGACACATGGGTCGTCAAACAAGTGCTCGAAGTCACATGTTCACACCAGATCCTTGCCATAGTACAGGGTATGTTCTACTATCTTGCTACACTCAAGCAGACCTGAGTCAATAATCATTTGGGTTTAATGCAGCAACCATCTCATCTTCTGAAATCCTGGAAATCTGACAGTACACTGAACCCACAAAACTCATACCCAGTACTTCACACACACATGCAAAGCAGCTTCCTTGAGTATCATTTCAGCAGCTCAGGTGTATTCTGGGCTATTGAACAACGACAGAGGGTCAGAAAGGCAGTTTGATGTCATTCAGTTTGATCTGACTGGTCCCACAGACCAGTGCATTTAATATTAACGCTCTCTGTTTTTATTTTAAATAAGTATCAGTGGCTTTTGATGCAAACCCAATAAACGGAGCAGCACTGAGGTGAACACTGGACAGCATTAAAGACAACTGAACTGAAGAGGTTGTGTCAACAAGCCAATGCTTCTGGTACCAGAGGTCTTTAAAAAACACAATGCTTAACATCAGCCATTGTTGTCACCCAATGCTGGATTTGACTTTATTGAAGCCAGTTCTTCATCAAGCTTTTCTTCTTTGGGTCTAGTGGAGTTTGACTAAGGGTGCGTTCACACCTGCCTTGTATAGTCCGGTTGAATGTAACCCTAGTGCGTTTAGCCGCCTGGTGCGGTTCATTTGGGTCGGTGTGAACGCAGTCCGAGACCTCTGAAGTGAACTAAACAACCAGACTCTAGTCCGCTAAAAGAGGTGGTCTCGGAGCGCTTGCTAGTGAACTCTGGAGCGGTTCATCGCTGGTGTGAACGCAGTCCGCACCAAAACATAGGAAGCGTAGTATTTACGCGTCACAAGAACGCGGATATCTTCAAAATCTTTAGCGAAAGAGTCTTTCAAGACATCCGCGGTTGTTTAGTTAAAGAGTGAAGTGAATGAAGTGTTGAACAGTGTCGTGTAAAGTAACAATTCTCCGTCAGCTTTAAAAGTAGGAACACCTGTCGTCTGTGAAACCCCCTCCTTACTGCAGAACGTCTCTCATTATGTTATAATGTTTTTTAACGGACGTTGTCTGATTATATAATCATATGCGCGGGCCGCTAGTGTCTGTTGATCTCCAGATTAACAGCAGCATGAGAATAACCTGCCGAAAGTGCCGATGCTCCATGGCGGAGGCTCCGCTAGAAATTGCAGGGTTTTGTGTTTTTACCCCCTTAATGTCTGACCAATGGTTGAACAGCATTTCCGAGCACATGACTTGTGTTTAAAGTTTATAGTCCGTTTGAGTTTCCCCGTGTGAACGCAAACTGAACCTTCTGAAAAATGAAACAATGCAACAAACTATGGTCTGGTGCCACCAGAGAAGCGACTATTCGGTGTGAATGCGACCTAAAAGGCCAAGTGTATTTGGGATGGCATAAAGTTCTAAGAAGTATTCTTTCAAACAAACAAATGAGGACGAGACCACCTCTTTTTGTTGTACCAATGTCTGGCCTGGTTTTGATCAAACTAAAAAGGAACATTTTAGCAGGTATATATGCAAAGGTGATGGCAGTCTACAGCCTTGCTAGCAGCTCTGTGAGGCTGTGGTTGAGCATAGTGGTGCTTTGAATGTTGCTGGATGGACAAATGAAGGGGTCTCAAAAGCTGTTGCACTTCATATTTAGGGTACTATGAACTTCTTTGAAAGGTTTTATGACAATACGTGGTGTAGATGTCCAGATAGTTCAACATAATTGTAATCTTTGACCTGTTGGTGGCGTTAATTTAAATGAATGGGGCATTCAAGTTCATTAGGGTTTATTTACTGGACCCCAAATATATATATATCTCCAATAGCAGTTTAAACATTTCATTCTAGACCAAAGTGGTGAAGCAATTGATGGACCAAAAATGTCATCCATACATTAGCCATTGAGCTATCATGGAAACAAATTGACATAACTGTACAAATGACTAATGACTATTCTCAAAGCCAATATCTTTGAACCACAAATCCATCTTTTCTTAATTTCCTTTGAAGCATTAAAATCCCTACATCTTAGATAGCACTGTTTAGTAGTCAGTCATCATCTGAAGCAGAGACGAGGAAAACTAGATGACATCAAACTCTTTCCAAAGTCTCTATGTTTTATTAATATGTTGAATGTTTTACCCCCGGCCTTGTGAAGTATATTTGATCTGTGGGAATCCCTACTTCACATTTAACATGTAAGTAGATGGTTAATATACGCGGGACGTCTTTTTAAGCTTATTTCAAACTGTTTAAATGTGTTAAATACATATTTTAGGAAATTCTGGATGTTCGCGAGAAATCCAACCAATACTTTTACAAGTTATTTCCAGGGACAGATCTCTCTTACATGTATATATATATATATTACTTTCATGAGAAAAGTCTGGGGTTTAAACCCTTTCAACCAGCGTGTTAGGTAGTTTTTTGCCCAGGTCTGCACTCAATACATTTTAGCCCTTTCATGGGTATGTAGAAAGCACAAAGAGTCCACTCTGAAAGTGGCCAACGCCTCCACCGACCCACATGTATTCTCAGCAGCAGTCACATATCCAGCCTTCTATTAAAAGACGCCCTTTGTGGATCATCAGACTTTAGCTGACAAACAGAGACAGACATGTCTACATTCGCACAACTTCAATACGTTGAAGTTGAAAAAAAGGACACAGTAAAATAAACAAGCTTTCGTTTCTCAGTTACCCGCAAACCTGCTTAAGAGGAAAAAAGGTAGGTCGATGCTACTTGTTAGCGATGGATATTACAAAATAAAACTGTACAAAGTTCAGTTCTTCCTCAAAAGAAGCTTCAGAGTTTGCCATCCGTCCAATCTTGACAACACTGAGGTTGACGGCACGTTGGGTCTAGCTTTTAATGTCTTTGAAATGTTTGTTTCGAAGCAGTACAACTATAAATATCATCACTTTAGTAATGTTCATCAATCACTTTAATTGTCATGCCTGTCTGTAGCTTTTTCAAATATCCTGTATTTCAGATAGTGAAACCCAGATCAGCCAAAAGCTGGTTCTTTTTTGTTTAGTCCTTTCATAAAGCAACAATATCCACTGTGTTCTTTTGAGAAATGACTAACCCCAAGCAGCCGGATCCAGAGAGGAATGAGAGACGACTCAAAGACACGACAGGGTTTCAGAATCGGGATCACAGGACATGTATTAAAGTCTCTTCCCGCTCTGTTCACGGTCCAGAAATGCAAATGGTCAAAGACGTCCACTCCAGGGAGGCAACAAATGTTTCATCTATTTTTCCTGGAGCTTGTGTCTGTGGGTTTCGCGCTGAAGTCTGTGATGTCCTCCTCCTCCCCTGCCGCCCTCCCCTCCGTCCAGGGGTTGGACAAGTAACCGTGTGCGTCTATGAGGTGGCGGCCATCTTTACTCCTGGCGGATACATTGGTTTGGTCCAGTGAGCCCGTGCTGTTACACTTCTTCACCAGCGGGGGTGCCAGAGAGCCCGGGCTGAGCAGCGACGTCAGGGAGAGACTGTTCAGCGTTTCTGACAAATGTTCGCTGTTCAGGGTCTGCCGACAAACATCCGTCCCCGTCCCCACTTCCTCGTCTGAAGGGTCCATTGAGTCCTGACGTGGGCATCCAGGGCTGGTGCTGCCCCCCCCACAGCTGCTCTGGCTCCTCTGGTGCCCCCTGGTGGCCTGGAGGGTAAACGTAGTGCTGCGTCTCTTCAGCAGAGGGGGGTCTCCTGAGGCTGGTTCCTCCTGGGGATGGATGGGGAGAGCCATGGGGAGGGGAGGGGACACGCTGAAGCTGAGCCCTTCCTCCAGAGTGGTCTGCAGGCTGCCCTCTGAACTGCCCGTGGCCAGAGAGGAGTCACTGTGGGACGGGTGCTGCTCACAGAGGGAGGGGGTGGTGAGAGGAAGGGAAATGAAGAAATTAGTACTTCATAGAAAATAGATATTAGATTAGATTCCTTTATTGTCACTACACAGAGTACAGCGACATTCCAAGTATTCCCAAAGGTGCAATCACACATAACAGACCTAATAATACACGCTAAAAACATTTAATATATACTTATATATATTGAAGTGACTGTTATTTTGTATATAATGATTGTTGTGCTTTTATTTAGGTCTTAATATGTATAAATGTGTCTTTTGATTGTGTATATATATATAGGTATGTATGTACATCTTTATACATATTTTTTATATATATTTGATTTTGTATTTGGGATTGTGAGAAACGTTATTTCGATCTCTCTGTCTGTACACACAAACTGAAAGATTGACAATACAATTGACTTTGAAAACATTACTCCTGGTTTGCACCACAACATATTTCATGTATTCACAAGATTAGGTTTAAAATAGTGTTACACTTTCTTTTAAATGATTGAACCAGGATTTCAAATGTGCACACTGTAAGGTTTCAGCGTTAGAGTCCTTTTAGTTTATTGTTTTGTGTTTATTCTTGTGACCTTGCATTTTATTTAGGTATTGACTCTACCCTCTCTTTCAGGTGTCTACACTTCCTGTCTTTGTGTGTCACCTGCCCGCCTGCTTGTTGTCTCTTGCTCCTGATTGTTTTCCCCTGTGCCCCATTACCTAATGTGTGTGTGTGTGTGTGTGTGTGTGTATATATAGCCCTTCTCTCCTTTTGTCTTTTGTCGGTTCGTCTTGTCAACACACCAAGTCCATGTCTGTATACCCTCGTGAACTATTGAGCAACCGAGTGGAACCTAGAGATCTTTTGAGTATCCTAGTTGATCCTAGTAATCTTTTACTTTGAAAAGTCTTTTGTAAAATAAAATATATTTTTGAAGTCAAAACCGAACCTTCCAGCATCAGTCCCAGCCCGTTTATCGGTTGTTAAAATGAACATATTGCCCCGCATACATTTCGTAAGCTCAATGATCCCCCTAGCACCTCCAACAGGATACTGGCAAAAACTAGATTCTTTACTTCGATGCTACATCTGGAATGGTAAACGACCCAGTATAAAATGGTCAGCTCTTCAGTATAGAAAATCAGATGGGGGATTGGCATGCCCAAATTTTAAACTATATCATTGGGCATTCATATTAAGATCTCTCAGCTATTGGGTATATGAAGATAAAATGTCATCTTGGAAGAATATGGAACAAGATTTAATAGCGCCGATAAGATTAAGGGACTTTCTCCTTTCAGGTATATCTACCAAAAAATGTGATTTACTGTACGGTCCAATTTTAACTTATATGATTAAAGTGTTCAGAGCAGCAGGGAAATTCCTAAACTTTAAGAGTGTGTGGTGTAGGTCATCTCCATTATGGAACAATCATAACCTATTGACTGGGGGAAAACCATTTAACAACAAAGCTTGGGAGGATAAAGGTATTAAAACTCTTCAGGACATTAATGGGGAAAATTGTATTCATGACTTTCAAAAACTGGTCTCTCAATATAATATTGATCAACACTCTCTCTTCTTTTACTTTAGAATAAGGTCTGCCTGTAAAGCCTATGGGGTCCCCTGGGGGTCAGATTTGAAAGAACATCCTATTCTGAGTTGGGTGCAAAGTGCTCCCAAAAAAATAGTTTCGTTTATCTATAATAATCTTAACTCCCAGAACTATATTCCTACATCAGGCATGAGAGCATGGGACAGGGAAATATCTACTTTAGGACAAGAATTGGATTGGGATGCAATTTGGGCTAATGTTACGGGTGCTTCAAAAAACCCAAACCATCAGTATATACATCTGACATTTTGTCATAGAGCATATCTAACACCAATAATTGGACACAGAATTGGATTGGTACCTGACCCGTATTGTTCATTTTGTCACCAGGGAACCATTGGCTCTTTCTTACATGTTGTATGGGAGTGTCCAGGAGTATTGCACTTTTGGGGGAAGGTTATTAGTACCCTTACAGATTTAATAGGGTTGAGATTACCAATGGAACCTGCTGTACATCTTCTAAATGATGAATCTCACCTTTCCCTTACGGGGAAAACTCGCAAAATCTGGCTAACAGGCTTGACTGCAGCTAAAAAGATTATAGTCCAACGTTGGAAACCTCCTCACGATATTTCAAGTTCTCACTGGCTTCAGAGTTTTTTGAACATTTCTTACCTTGAACTGTCCTCTGCGAGAATCAACGATGCAAAACCTGATACAATTTTAATGTGGACAGATCTGATATCTAACTTAAAGGAGCTCCTGACCAAATAAGAATGCTATCCCTGAGGGGATATTTTTGCCCCGGTGGTTGGTGGTGGAGTGGTTGGGGGGTGGGCGATGGAGTGGTTGGGGGGTGGGCTATGGAGTGGGTGGGTAGCTGGGTGGGATGTAGGATAGAGGGATGGGATTGAATTAATCCAAAATGTTGTGCAACCTGAATTGTCTTCTGTACTGTGTTGTAAATTGAAGATGTTGCAATAAAAAATGTATGATAAAAAAAAAAAAAAACCGAATCGTGCATCTGAGTTCCTGTGAGTCCTTCGTGTCACACACAGAGGGGGAGGTGAGAGGAAGGGGAATTAAGCAATTAGTACTTTATTCCTGGTTTGCACCACACAACATTTTATTTATTTATTATTATTTATTCACAAGATTAGATTTAAAATAGTGTTACACTTTCTTTTAAATGATTGAACAAGACTTCACACTTGCTCCAGCCTGTGGGCAGTGATGGTGTTGGCTCGACGGGTCACAAACGTTCTCATTTTACGGACATTTGAGGAGAAATTAAGGCAATTTCAAAGCATTAATGTTGCTTCATATATGCCTGCCAACGGCATGCCGTGCTGACAGCAGTGTCAACAACACGAACATCTTTGCTATTGGTTGAAGCTGCTACTTTGAGGGTCAAAGTTCACCGAAGTGGAACTCGTTCTGATGCAAAGACACAAGTTCGCTTCAGCAACGGAAGAGAATCTTCTTATTTGCCACTTTGCTCAACAATCTCTCTGTCAAGTTATAACTTATTACACAAGAAGGGCCAAGCATACATGTCTCGCTTTATGAAGAATTGTTTGAACAAGCATTAAGAATGAATTCTGCTATAACCTACTTCAAATCCATTTAGTTCCTGAATCTGATTCTGAGTTGTTTTTCTTCAACTCTTTTAAAAAGTAATTCAACAGTTTGGATCAGAGTTTAAAGTGGACTTTAGAAAGTTGCACTAAAAGGGCAGATTTGAATAACCCATAAAGAGAAGTTTAAAACATACATTGTTAGATTGAAGGTAGGTTCATCGGTGGAAGATACATAAAGTACTTCTTAACTAAAATGTCCATGTATGGTTTCAAGTGTAAAGGTCGTCCTGATTGGTGCACCCCTTCTTATCAATGTGTCTCATAGCATTTGTTTTACTGCAAATGATACATCAACATTATTCATACATGTGAGAAAGTGAGAGTTTATGAAAAAGGAGAAATGGAGGGTTTGGCAGAAAAGAGGAACAAGATGGAGGCCAGGGAGAAGAAAGAGGCGTTCAGGGACACCAGAAGAAGACATAAAGGAAACACAATAAAAAGGGACCGAAGAGAATGTGAAGATCCAGAGTGTGCACGGTATCAGACTCAGGGCTAATTAGCTGAGCGCCGCAGAGCTTTGGATCATAGAGGCACTCAGGCACGAGCTAAACAAACCGAAACAGGTGGAGGGGAGAGAAAAGAGAAGCCCGTCTCCATGGTTACACGGCGGCAAGAACTAAAATAAGTGCCTTTTCATCCTCGCTTGTTTTCATGCAGAAGCCAACGCAGGGGGAGGTGTTGGATTCAATACGAAATGAGATCATACCTTTATTTATAACTAAATAAATGATGGGGAGTTTCACACAAAGAACATCAAGGAGGCGGGTCAACGGGTCGGAAACATTTCTACAGGTGTTACTCAAATCTACTGATCAGTTTGACTTTCAGCTTTAAGGTCACTATTTCATCTTCATTGTGTTCCAGCAGCTCTGGAGCCTGTATTGAAAGAAATCAACAGGTCGTTGGTTTAATGCTCTTTGAACTATCAGTTACACATTCATTACATTACACTGGCTTTTAATATAGTTGAGCATAACATTAGATATGTGTCTGTGTTTTATATGCCTCTAGTTATTATGCTTTTTATCTTGTTTTTAATTATTGTTTTATTATTTTACTCCTATTGTGTTCTTTTATATGTGTTCCCTGTACAGCACAGTTTTAAATCGACTATACAAAGAAATAAAGATCGAGATTGAGAACCATATTATTTCCTTAGAACATAGGCTATTGTTTTTAAATGCCATTCATTTTCTGTAAAGCACTTTGAATGGCCTTGTGTTGAAAGGTGCTATATAAATAAACTTGCCTTGCCTATTGTATCAAATCTGATTGTTGGCGTTTGGACATACAATAAGGCCATATAGTCACATTTAAAAAGCTTGTTTGAACTTATTTCCCAAGTCAATTGGAATAAACAGCGTTTTGGCGGCAGGGAAACATTGTGGGAGAGAACAAATGTTTAACGGCAATTTTCAGCAGTCTGTTATTACCAGTGTAATCACTGTGTGTCCTCTCTGGATACTTCTGTTCCAGTAACAATCTCCTGAACAATGAAACCTGAAGTCATCATAACAGAAATACAACAACTGAGGCCTGTACTCTGAAGCCAGTTCAACAGACCCTGGATATGTTCGAGTTATCTTACCTAACCCAAAACAAACGCGCTCTCGCTAAGCGGTCCCACGACGCTGGTTATCAACTCGGTAACTCAAGCCAGGGTTTCTCTGTCCGGCTGAGCGCGTGTTCACATGCAAGGGGCGGGGCTAGCAACATTTGACCAATCATAAACATGGATAAGCCTACTGACAGCGCAGCGTCATACTTCCTGAATGAAAAGTGAACTATAATATTAGACATATGAAGAAGTTCAACTTTAAACATCCATGACTTAAACACTTGATCCAGGATCAAAGCCACATAGCTGCACCTGCAAGGTGAATACAGCTGGTGACAGAACAAGTGTTTGAATGCGTACATTAACAGGTTTATGATATCACTGCCCCGTCCAAGACACCATCTGACTTTCATTACATTTGACTCGAGTGTTTCGTCAACTTAATGTGTTGCTTAAAATAATAGGTTGTAGATGTTCCTGTATAATGCATACACTCTTTCTTTCTAGACGTGTTAGTAAGATATATGTTTAATAATGACTGTTTAGTGTCTAGGCCCCTATTCTAAAGCTTCAGATCCCGTTTCACACATTCTGTCTCACAATTCTAGTATTATTTGTTTTATACATCATTTGGCAAATCCGATCTGCCTGCTTGAATTATTTTTTGATCCATGACAACTCTGGTTCACTTATCTAAATACACTCAGAAGTACGGATCCATCCATCCATCCATCCATCCATCCATCCATCCATCCATCCATCCATCCATCCATCCATCCATCCATCCATCCATCCATCCATCCATCCGTCCATCCATCCATCCGTCCATCCATCCATCCGTCCATCCATCCATCCGTCCGTCCATCCATCCGTCCGTCCGTCCATCCGTCCGTCCATCCATCCGTCCATCCATCCATCCGTCCATCCATCCGTCCGTCCGTCCATCCATCCGTCCGTCCATCCATCCATCCGTCCATCCATCCATCCGTCCATCCGTTCATCCGTTCATCCGTTAATAATACCTGAGAGCTCAGAGGCCTGCTGTTTGCTCCAGGTGAGCGCAGCGAGGCCCAGGAGGCCGGGGAGGGCAGCCTGGACGGGCCTCTGTCTCCAGGACCAACACTGATCCTGGGACTGCCCGGATGAGCTACAGCAGCCGGGTGGAAGAAGTCTGCTGGGAGGTGGAAGACCGGAGAAGAACCGCCTTCATCTCGACTTCCACCATCTCCATCTGAAGACAGAAAGGTTAGAACTTAAAGGTCACCTATTATGCAAAATCCACTTCTTCATGTCTCTTCTACATCAACATGTGTCCCCTCTTCTTCATGTCTCTTCTACATCAACATGTGTCCCCTCTTCTTCATGTCTCTTCTACATCAACATGTGTCCCCTCTTCTTCATGTCTCTTCTACATCACCATGTGTCCCTCTTCTTCATGTCTCTTCTACATCAACATGTGTCCCCTCTTCTTCATGTCTCTTCTACATCAACATGTGTCCCCTCTTCTTCATGTCTCTTCTACATCAACATGTGTCCCCTCTTCTTCATGTCTCTTCTACATCAACATGTGTCCCCTCTTCTTCATGTCTCTTCTACATCAACATGTGTCCCCTCTTCTTCATGTCTCTTCTACATCAACATGTGTCCCCTCTTCTTCATGTGTCCCCTCTTCCTCATGTCTCTTCTACATCAACATGTGTCCCCTCTTCCTCATGTCTCTTCTACATCAACATGTGTCCCCTCTTCTTCATGTCTCTTCTACATCAACATGTGTCCCCTCTTCTTCATGTCTCTTCTACATCACCATGTGTCCCTCTTCTTCATGTCTCTTCTACATCAACATGTGTCCCCTCTTCTTCATGTCTCTTCTACATCAACATGTGTCCCCTCTTCTTCATGTCTCTTCTTCATCAACATGTGTCCCCTCTTCTCCATGTCTCTTCTACATCAACATGTGTCCCCTCTTCTTCATGTCTCTTCTACATCAACATGTGTCCCCTCTTCTTCATGTCTCTTCTACATCAACATGTGTCCCCTCTTCTTCATGTCTCTTCTACATCAACATGTGTCCCCTCTTCTCCATGTCTCTTCTACATCAACATGTGTCCCTCTTCTCCATGTCTCTTCTACATCAACATGTGTCCCCTCTTCTTCATGTATCTTCTACATCAACATGTGTCCCCTCTTCTTCATGTCTCTTCTTCATCAACATGTGTCCCCTCTTCTTCATGTCTCTTCTACATCAACATGTGTCCCCTCTGTGGAAAGAGACTCTGAAAGTTTCAGGAACAAAGATTCTCTCTCTTTTTGATCCATTTCTATAAAAACCTGTCTGAAAATGAGCTGATCAGATTTTGGCCACTTTATGATGTCATAACGATGTTTTGGTTCGTGTAACCATTAGCCAATCAGCAACCAAGGTAACCCCCCCCCACCTTATCACCTATGCTGTATAGAAGTCTATGAAAAAAAGAGGACAAATTCTACCCCCACAACTTACAAATGATGTATCACTTGAATATAGACTCTTATGGCACTACTTATATTCTATTGTATTGTATTTACTTGTACTATTTCATCTACTTTACTGTGTTGCTCTGTTGGAGGAGCCTGGGACATAATATTTTCATCGACAAAACTACACTGTAGCTATGTACAAATGACAATAAAAGCCTTGAACCTTGAATCTTGAAAAAGCAGAAGTAACAGTGTAAAGTAATGTATTGTTGTGTAAACCAGTCCCCCATGTCTTCAGTGACAGTCTGTAGTGTCGTGTCTCAGTGAATTGACTCTGCTTGTATCTCACCATCTGTTCCTGTGATGGCGGTCATATTACGGAGGCGGTGAGCCACCATTAAACCATAACATATCTTTCATCAACATCTAAAAGTCTGCATTTGGGCTGGCATCATCTATCACTGCTTTAATTGCAGAGGAAGTCAATCAACGGTGTGAGATATGAGACACGAGTCTTGTGTGTGAGGTGGAGACGCTCAGAGGAAGCCTTGTGTTATTTAAACGATACGATCAATGTCACTTCAAAGTCAGGATTTAATGAAATCCTGGTGGTTAGATACCAGGCAGGGTCACAGAGAACTCTGATAAGGTTAATAAGCAGCGCTGATGAAAGGTAACCCTGAGAGGGATTATTTTAATACGACGGGATGATGTGGAATATTCAATCAAACCATTTAGCTGCTGTCGGAGGAAAAACGTTACTGAAAGGAAAACTACTCAGACTTTTTGTATTGTTGAAATTATATAATAAGTAAGGGATAACGTGCAGCGAGGCGGTCATTATGGGGAAACGTTTTATTGATTTAAAATGACATGCATCCGCTAAGAAAAATAGTCCGTTGTTACCGTTTGAACTAACGTAGCAACAGCAGGAACTGCTTCGATAGCGGTTTTGAGGAGCTTTTTGATTACAGATTTGAAAACATCATTGCTTGCTTTAAAAGTAGCACAATTCATGATGTCAGACCTTGGGAAGTATCTAGATATCCCTGCCCTAATGCCAAAGGAACTGCACACTGAATATGTGTTCCGTTTGATGTCTGGACCGCTGCGTAAAAAGGACCGCAGCTCCGTGTTGAGGGTTTCTGCCCCGTTACTTCTCCGCGGTTTTACCTTTACTTTCTACTTCTTACATGTTGAACTCAAATACCTGTACTTTCTACTTCTTACATGTTGAACCCAAATACCTGTACTTTCTACTTCTTACATGTTGAACCCAAATACCTGTACTTTCTACTTCTTACATGTTGAACTCAAATACCTGTACTTTCTACTTCTTACATGTTGAACTCAAATACCTGTACTTTCTACTTCTTACATGTTGAACCCAAATACCTGTACTTTCTACTTCTTACATGTTGAACTCAAATACCTGTACTTTCTACTTCTTACATGTTGAACCCAAATACCTGTACTTTCTACTTCTTACATGTTGAACTCAAATACCTGTACTTTCTACTTCTTACATGTTGAACACAAATACCTGTACTTTCTACTTCTTACATGTTGAACACAAATACCTGTACTTTCTACTTCTTACATGTTGAACACAAATACCTGTACTTTCTACTTCTTACATGTTGAACACAAATACATGTACTTTCTACTTCTTCCATGTTGAACACAAATACCTGTACTTTCTACTTCTTACATGTTGAACTCAAATACCTGTACTTTCTACTTCTTACATGTTGAACCCCAAATACCTGTACTTTCTACTTCTTACATGTTGAACTCAAATACCTGTACTTTCTACTTCTTACATGTTGAACTCAAATACCTGTACTTTCTACTTCTTACATGTTGAACCCAAATACCTGTACTTTCTACTTCTTACATGTTGAACTCAAATACCTGTACTTTCTACTTCTTACATGTTGAACTCAAATACCTGTACTTTCTACTTCTTACATGTTGAACCCAATACCTGTACTTTCTACTTCTCACATGTTGAACCCAAATACCTGTACTTTCTACTTCTTACATGTTGAACTCAAATACCTGTACTTTCTACTTCTTACATGTTGAACTCAAATACCTGTACTTTCTACTTCTTACATGTTGAACCCAAATACCTGTACTTTCTACTTCTTACATGTTGAACTCAAATACCTGTACTTTCTACTTCTTACATGTTGAACCCAAATACCTGTACTTTCTACTTCTTACATGTTGAACTCAAATACCTGTACTTTCTACTTCTTACATGTTGAACTCAAATACCTGTACTTTCTACTTCTTACATGTTGAACCCAAATACCTGTACTTTCTACTTCTTACATGTTGAACTCAAATACCTGTACTTTCTACTTCTTACATGTTGAACCCAAATACCTGTACTTTCTACTTCTTACATGTTGAACTCAAATACCTGTACTTTCTACTTCTTACATGTTGAACACAAATACCTGTACTTTCTACTTCTTACATGTTGAACACAAATACCTGTACTTTCTACTTCTTACATGTTGAACACAAATACCTGTACTTTCTACTTCTTACATGTTGAACACAAATACATGTACTTTCTACTTCTTCCATGTTGAACACAAATACCTGTACTTTCTACTTCTTACATGTTGAACTCAAATACCTGTACTTTCTACTTCTTACATGTTGAACCCAAATACCTGTACTTTCTACTTCTTACATGTTGAACTCAAATACCTGTACTTTCTACTTCTTACATGTTGAACTCAAATACCTGTACTTTCTACTTCTTACATGTTGAACCCAAATACCTGTACTTTCTACTTCTTACATGTTGAACCCAAATACCTGTACTTTCTACTTCTTACATGTTGAACTCAAATACCTGTACTTTCTACTTCTTACATGTTGAACTCAAATACCTGTACTTTCTACTTCTTACATGTTGAACCCAAATACCTGTACTTTCTACTTCTTACATGTTGAACTCAAATACCTGTACTTTCTACTTCTTACATGTTGAACACAAATACCTGTACTTTCTACTTCTCACATGTTGAACTCAAATACCTGTACTTTCTACTTCTTACATGTTGAACTCAAATACCTGTACTTTCTACTTCTTACATGTTGAACCCAAATACCTGTACTTTCTACTTCTTACATGTTGAACTCAAATACCTGTACTTTCTACTTCTTACATGTTGAACTCAAATACCTGTACTTTCTACTTCTTACATGTTGAACCCAAATACCTGTACTTTCTACTTCTTACATGTTGAACTCAAATACCTGTACTTTCTACTTCTTACATGTTGAACTCAAATACCTGTACTTTCTACTTCTTACATGTTGAACTCAAATACCTGTACTTTCTACTTCTTACATGTTGAACTCAAATACCTGTACTTTCTACTTCTTACATGTTGAACCCAAATACCTGTACTTTCTACTTCTTACATGTTGAACTCAAATACCTGTACTTTCTACTTCTTACATGTTGAACTCAAATACCTGTACTTTCTACTTCTTACATGTTGAACCCAAATACCTGTACTTTCTACTTCTTACATGTTGAACTCAAATACCTGTACTTTCTACTTCTTACATGTTGAACTCAAATACCTGTACTTTCTACTTCTTACATGTTGAACTCAAATACCTGTACTTTCTACTTCTTACATGTTGAACCCAAATACCTGTACTTTCTACTTCTTACATGTTGAACTCAAATACCTGTACTTTCTACTTCTTACATGTTGAACTCAAATACCTGTACTTTCTACTTCTTACATGTTGAACTCAAATACCTGTACTTTCTACTTCTTACATGTTGAACTCAAATACCTGTACTTTCTACTTCTTACATGTTGAACTCAAATACCTGTACTTTCTACTTCTTACATGTTGAACTCAAATACCTGTACTTTCTACTTCTTACATGTTGAACCCAAATACCTGTACTTTCTACTTCTTACATGTTGAACTCAAATACCTGTACTTTCTACTTCTTACATGTTGAACTCAAATACCTGTACTTTCTACTTCTTACATGTTGAACTCAAATACCTGTACTTTCTACTTCTTACATGTTGAACTCAAATACCTGTACTTTCTACTTCTTACATGTTGAACCCAAATACCTGTACTTTCTACTTCTTACATGTTGAACACAAATACCTGTACTTTCTACTTCTTACATGTTGAACACAAATACCTGTACTTTCTACTTCTCACATGTTGAACCCAAATACCTGTACTTTCTACTTCTTACATGTTGAACACAAATACCTGTACTTTCTACTTCTTACATGTTGAACTCAAATACCTGTACTTTCTACTTCTCACATGTTGAACCCAAATACCTGTACTTTCTACTTCTTACATGTTGAACTCAAATACCTGTACTTTCTACTTCTTACATGTTGAACACAAATACCTGTACTTTCTACTTCTCTCATGTTGAACTCAAATACCTGTACTTTCTACTTCTTACATGTTGAACTCAAATACCTGTACTTTCTACTTCTTACATGTTGAACTCAAATACCTGTACTTTCTACTTCTTACATGTTGAACCCAAATACCTGTACTTTCTACTTCTTACATGTTGAACTCAAATACCTGTACTTTCTACTTCTTACATGTTGAACACAAATACCTGTACTTTCTACTTCTCACATGTTGAACTCAATACCTGTACTTTCTACTTCTCACATGTTGAACTCAAATACCTGTACTTTCTACTTCTCACATGTTGAACCCAAATACCTGTACTTTCTACTTCTTACATGTTGAACACAAATACCTTTACTTTCTACTTCTCACATGTTGAACCCAAATACCTGTACTTTCTACTTCTCACATGTTGAACCCAAATACCTGTACTTTCTACTTCTTACATGTTGAACTCAAATACCTGTACTTTCTACTTCTTACATGTTGAACCCAAATACCTGTACTTTCTACTTCTTACATGTTGAACTCAAATACCTGTACTTTCTACTTCTTACATGTTGAACTCAAATACCTGTACTTTCTACTTCTCACATGTTGAACACAAATACCTGTACTTTCTACTTCTTACATGTTGAACCCAAATACCTGTACTTTCTACTTCTCACATGTTGAACTCAAATACCTGTACTTTCTACTTCTTACATGTTGAACCCAAATACCTGTACTTTCTACTTCTTACATGTTGAACACAAATACCTGTACTTTCTACTTCTTACATGTTGAACCCAAATACCTGTACTTTCTACCTCTCACATGTTGAACTCAAATACCTGTACTTTCTACTTCTTACATGTTGAACCCAAATACCTGTACTTTCTACTTCTCACATGTTGAACCCAAATACCTGTACTTTCTACTTCTTACATGTTGAACACAAATACCTGTACTTTCTACTTCTTACATGTTGAACACAAATACCTGTACTTTCTACTTCTTACATGTTGAACTCAAATACCTGTACTTTCTACTTCTTACTTGTTGAACACAAATACCTGTACTTTCTACTTCTTACATGTTGAACTCAAATACCTGTACTTTCTACTTCTTACATGTTGAACTCAAATACCTGTACTTTCTACTTCTCACATGTTGAACTCAAATACCTGTACTTTCTACTTCTTACATGTTGAACTCAAATACCTGTACTTTCTACTTCTTACTTGTTGAACACAAATACCTGTACTTTCTACTTCTTACATGTTGAACTCAAATACCTGTACTTTCTACTTCTTACATGTTGAACTCAAATACCTGTACTTTCTACTTCTTACATGTTGAACTCAAATACCTGTACTTTCTACTTCTTACATGTTGAACCCAAATACCTGTACTTTCTACTTCTTACATGTTGAACTCAAATACCTGTACTTTCTACTTCTTACATGTTGAACACAAATACCTGTACTTTCTACTTCTTACATGTTGAACACAAATACCTGTAATTTCTACTTCTTACATATTGAACTCAAATACCTGTACTTTCTACTTCTTACATGTTGAACACAAATACCTGTACTTTCTACTTCTTACATGTTGAACACAAATACCTGTACTTTCTACTTCTTACATGTTGAACACAAATACCTGTACTTTCTACTTCTTACATGTTGAACACAAATACCTGTACTTTCTACTTCTTACATGTTGAACACAAATACCTGTACTTTCTACTTCTTACATGTTGAACTCAAATACCTGTACTTTCTACTTCTTACATGTTGAACTCAAATACCTGTACTTTCTACTTCTTACATGTTGAACCCAAATACCTGTACTTTCTACTTCTCACATGTTGAACACAAATACTTGTACTTTCTACTTCTCACATGTTGAACACAAATACCTGTACTTTCTACTTCTTACATGTTGAACACAAATACCTGTACTTTCTACTTCTTACATGTTGAACACAAATACTTGTACTTTCTACTTCTCTCATTTTCCAAACAGCTGGTTCCTTTAGTCTGAATGTGTGTTTGATGCGTGATCATTATTCTTTAGAGTCATTGCGTGCCTATTGATTTGAACACGATCCGTGTATCCATCATTTCCTGGTCTTCTCTAAAGAAGAGGGACCAATGGAAACGTTGTCATGTTGCCGTTGTTCAGCATGGAAACATTCATTAGCTAACAATGACATTATTGTTCTATTAATATAAAGGGAGGTCAGGTACTCTTTAAAACAGCTGCTAGTTATGGGTACTTTTTTACTGAAGTACATTTCAAAGCCTCTTTACTTTGACTTGAGTGAAGAAGTTCAGTCAGTACTTCTACTTTCACCAGAGTATTTTCAAACACGAGTATCTGTACTTCTACTTGAGTAAAGGATGTGAGTACTGTTGCCATCTCTGGTGTTACCTGTGCACGGTGTGGGGCTCTGCTGCTCCAGTGAGGGACTGTTCCCCTGAGGATGGACGCCCACCTCGTACAGCTCCTGGACCCCCTCCTCGCTTCCTGAGCTGGAGGGAAGAATCCCCCTGTAGCACCCCTGGGTGGGCAACTCCTCCGAACTCTGGGAGTCACTGCTGCCTCTCTGAGAGCGTGAAAAGAATAAGAGAAAATTAAGATATGAAGCGATTAAAACAGAGACAAAGACAGAAGCTTGATATCCAGGTGCACCGATGTTCACTGGAGCGAGAAGAGATATTAACTGAAGCCTTTTATCTGCCTTGTCATAATGGAAATCTGCACAATATGTTTCCAATTTCAAAAAGCTCTCTTTTCATGTCTCTTCCTTTATCCATCTATACAAGGCTGATTACATGTGGATGTGGTAAAGGAGTGGCGGCAGGCTTCAAAGCCTCAGACTGCTGCCCGTTGTTGTCGGACGTAAACTGGATCAAATGAATCGGCCTTCAATAACGCAGCGATGAAAAAGACCAGGTGGAGCCGCAGAGAGATAAGTGTTAACTGGAAGATGGAGGTATAAAAGACATGCCCACACACACTCACACACACTCTTATCCCAGCATGCTGACATCAAGAGCTCAGAGGGAGGCAGGTGTTTTAATTAGGCAGTAAAGCGTGTAAATAGTAATTAATGATTATTAGTAAGATTGAAGGGGCATAATGACAAGAGCTGTGATACCCCAAAGACATTACACTGTGTGTGGTGCGTGTGTGTGTGTGTGTGTGTGTGTGTGTGTGTGTGTGTGTGTGTGTGTGTGTTTGTGTGTGCATGATGATACCAGCTTATGTTAATTTGTATTACACATATCAGGGTTTAATAATTGTATTAAAATACCTCCCACAATGATATGTCCTCAAACAATCTCATGCGACAATTCGATATTTAATTTAATTTTGAATCATGTGCAATGCCATCCTGCTTTGACAAAACAATCATCATATGTTTGAATATCATAGGTAGAGGTAGAGGGTTTGGCTGAAAATAAGAACGTTTTTTAAGAATTTAAGTAATTTTTTGAATTACGGATTTTGGCCTCACAACTCCTTCGTATCATATAAGCATATATATTGTTTTTATATGTAAGAACTACTAAATGTAGTGAGTACACAGTACTATATTTGCCTCGGGATTGGGTTGGAGTAGAAGTCAAAGGGAGCATACAATGGAACAAAATCAGGTAATATTAAGACAGATTCGTACTTCATTAAGTATGGTACTTGAGTAAATATTTGTTTCTTACTTTCAACCAATGATATCACAATATATATGGCCACTACGACTTCTGGCATTATTTTATAGAGCTACAGTTTCCATTACTCTGGACAGACATCCCTAAGGTATTGGATGGACTGAGGTCAGAGCTCTGATGTCAATGTATTTTACACCAAACTTGTAAAACATTTCTTTATGGACCACTAAAGTAAAAACAATGCTATTAAATCTTCAAATACTCTGAACTATGGGGGATGTAAATGATCTGATATGTTTGTGTGCAATAATGTCCCAGAAGAGTTCAATAAGTTTCAAATGACATTGAATGTGTAAATACAATTGGGTGTTTCAGTGTGTGTGTGTGTGTGTGTGTGTGTGTGTGTGTGTGTGTGTGTGTGTGTGTGTGTGTGTGTGTGTGCATGTGTGTGTGTGTGTCTGTGCTGAAATGTGGGATGTATTTATTGTATTTTGATATCTGTATTTAGTATTGAAGAAAGGGTGGTCCTCACGCCCCCTGTGAATGTGTCTGGACCTCACATTGGTGTATTTACAGGAATGCGTGTGTGTGTACCTGGCTGTATCTGACCAGCATCTGGTAGCAGCTGTGTTCGTCCAGGCTGAGGTCATCAGGCAGCGCCGGAGACGAGGACTTGTCTGACATCTGCTCCGACATCAGAGACGCCTGCTCCACCTCTGCAAGCTGGATCTGAACACAAACACATACACACACACACACACACACACACACACACACACACACACACACACACACACACACACACACACACACACACACACACACACACACACACACACACACACACACACAATAATAAATAAAACATAAATAAATATGCTATAAAAGACCTTCTCAAAAAGTGGGTTTCCGGAGAGCGATTTAATTTTTTTTATCGATATCATAAATTGCAAAACAAAAATGTACCAAGTCATTATTTTTTGAAAACAAGTCTGACATACAGTAACATAAAGACATTTGATAAATCACACAAAGAACAGAATGGTTTGTATTTAAAATTAGAATAATAAATGATAACTTTGAGAAATGGAAAAAACCATTTGGGATCTGAATGTCTGTGAAAAAAGATGTTTATAAAAAAGCTTTTTTCTTATATAATTGTAAGAGGGAATAAATATGTGTCCATTCAAAGCAGAAATATATATTTTCTTTTACTCAAAGTCTTATAAATAGATAAATGATGGTTTCTAAGATTGCTCTGTGTGGAGAGAAGATTACATGAATATGATACACAGCTTTAATATCGAGGGTTGAGGAACAGAAAAGAGCAAGCAGACGAGAGGAAGGGAGATGAATATCCTGAGAAATAAAACCACAAATCTGCATTCCTGCCAACGTCTCAGCTTTTCATTTGTGTGTGTGTGTGTGTGTGTGTGTGTGTGTGTGTGTGTGTTTAATGGCAGAGGCAACAGAGATGCACAGTTATAGTGGTGAAGGTCAGACCTCTTCACACACATCATGATATCTAAATCATATTGAATGAGCTGCTGTATACACACACATCCCCCCCCCCCCACACACACACACACACACACACACACACACACACACACACACACACACACACACACACACACACACACACACACACACCCCCCACAGACCCACACACACACACACACGTTCCTGTATGTATTTAACCTCTTATACTCTATTTAATGTCAGAATGTCAGCAGATCTTATGGAAATTATTTGGCTTTATTTAAAAAAATGTAAATAAATAAATATATGTATATACAAATGTTAAAAACTAAACAAATGGTGAACATATACAACAGAAAATGTAAATCAACATTTAATTCCCGCTATAGGAGGAAGCAGCCCTCTGTATGATAAATCAATACCCTACATTAGTAATCCCTCCGCCCAGCATCCATCCCCATTCATCCTTGTTTCAGAAACCTGCAAATATAGTTGTTTGTGTATGTTTATAAAATGTCTGATATCTTTCATTTTTACTGAGGGCCAATTCAAAATGAACAACGGACCGCAGTTTGGACACCCTTCCCGTACAGTATCTTAATAGTATTTCATATCTGTTGCGTAGCTCTGCTTTTTGAGTCAATTGAACAAATAATAATCTTTGGGCACTCACTTCATCAGGAGTGAAACATGCTGACAACATCACATTTATACCCCTCAAAGTTCCCAACGATAAGAACTTCAAATTATATTTTTCTAATCGGACCATCCTGTTTGGTATTTGTCATTTAAAATAAAATCAGATACAGGTAATACCCAGATTGAATGTTCGCTCTGAAGATAGAGAAAGCTGGATCCAATATAACACATCTCACCACACACTGATACACACACACACACACACACACACACACACACACACACACACACACATATCCTTGTGCAACTCAATTGTGGGGCCCGAACTGATTTTACCCAATTGTGGGGTCCACCCTTTCCAACTATACTAGACCTCCGTAAAAAATGAGGCAATATAGAAAACAAATTAGAATCACAAAAATCACTTGAAATAAACATAATTCAAAGCTTTTGTCATTATGCTAGTTTTTTACCCACTTAGTGGGGCCCAGTTTCTAGCAGTCAGCACTTATGAGGTCCATTATACACACACACATATTTCTAGTTTTCATATCTTGGAAGGGATCAGAGTTACTACACACACACACACATACACACACACACACACACACACACACACAAACACACACACACACACACACACACACACACACACACACACGTATACATCACTTCAGGGGACATTACATTGACTTACATGCATTTTCTGGAGACTTATCCTAACCTTAACCAACACATGCCTAACCCTAACCCTAACCCTAAACCTAACCAAGTCTTCACCCTAAAATTAATGATTCCCCTTATGGGGACCTCCAATTTGTCCCCATAAGGGAGGCGAGTCCCCACACGTGACTGTGTAAACAGATTTAGGTCCCCACAAGTATAGTAATGCTAGGCCGTACACACACGTTCAAATATCCATCACACACAGGAACTCAAACAAATTTCAGCGCAGCAAACGTGATTCCATGATTTTTTTTAAATGTCATTATCTTGTATAAATCTTTTACTTAAAGGTGGGGTAGGTAAGTTTGAGAAACCGGCTCGAGATACACTTTTTGTTATATTCCATGGAATGCTCTTAACATCCCGATAGCAATGAATACATTAAATGCTTTGACAACAAATCCATAAAATATTTCCTCAGTGGAAGCCGTGGCGCTGTAAAAAGCACGACCAATCATCTGAGCCGGCTAAAGTAACTGGATGGCCTACCTGCCTGTCAGCCTTCCATCTGGGCACAGACTTATCTCGTGCCCTCATTGGTCATGTGCGCGTTCGTGTGTGTTGGAGGAGGGGCTCTGTGAGGAAGTGGCAGATTGTTTCGGCTGTGTATTTTCAAATTCGAGCGCACTCGAGCTGGTTTCTCCAAAATGACCTACCCCACCTTTAAGTAACCACAAACTTTTAGTTAAAAAGGTTAAATAGTTATTTAAAATCTCAAGGGTAAAATCGAAGTGATGTACACGAGCTGAAATAATGATACAATACCAGAAAATTCAAATAAAGAGAAAGAAATGGAATCATACAATCACATATCCAGATACAGAATGTACTGTGACATAATACATTTGAAAGATTCAAACAGAAATAAATAAAGGCTGTATTTTTGTCTAGAAATTCACATGGTTGTAATTAATGTAACCAGATAGCAACAGAGTGTGAGGAGATGGGGGATGTGTGTGTGTGTGTGTGTGTGTGTCTGACCTTCTGTGGGTGGTCCTTGCAGTCCTTGCAGACAGGGGGGGGGCAGTAGTGATGGAACACTGAGCCAGAGAGGTTGTCGATCATGTCTCCTTCAAACGAGTCCTTGATGAGCAGAGACACACTGTCCAGCCACTGGCTCTCCTACACACACACACACACACACACACACACACACACACACACACACACACACACACACAACACAACACACACACACACACACACACACACACACACACACACACACACACACAACACACACACACACACACACACACACACACACACACACACACACACACACACACACACACACACACACACACACACACACACACACACACACACATACACACACACACACACACACACATATCCATCACACACAGGAACTCAAACCAATTTCAGCGAAGCAAATGTGATTTTTGACTTTTGTTTACTTCCGGAACATAGTGACATCACTATGTAACAATTGCGTTCCTATATGAACATCAGCAGGAGAGGACTCTTTAAAGTAGAGACACTACATACTGATATACACCTGAACATCAGCAGGAGAGGACTCTTTAAAGTAGAGACACTACATACTGATATACACCTGAACATCAGCAGGAGAGGACTCTTTAAAGTACAGACACTACATACTGATATACACCTGAACATCAGCAGGAGAGGACTCTTTAAAGTAGGGACACTACATACTGATATACACCTGAACATCAGCAGGAGAGGACTCTTTAAAGTAGAGACACTACATACTGATATACACCTGAACATCAGCAGGAGAGGACTCTTTAAAGTAGAGACACTACATACTGATATACACCAGAACATCAGCAGGAGAGGACTCTTTAAAGTAGAGACACTACATACTGATATACACCTGAACATCAGCAGGAGAGGACTCTTTAAAGTAGAGACACTACATACTGATATACACCTGAACATCAGCAGGAGAGGACTCTTTAAAGTAGAGACACTACATACTGATATACACCTGAACATCAGCAGGAGAGGACTCTTTAAAGTAGAGACACAACATACTGATATACACCTGAACATCAGCAGGAGAGGACTCTTTAAAGTAGAGACACTACATACTGATATACACCTGAACATCAGCAGGAAAGGACTCTTTAAAGTAGAGACACTACATACTGATATACACCTGAACATCAGCAGGAGAGGACTCTTTAAAGTAGAGACACTACATACTGATATACACCTGAACATCAGCAGGAGAGGACTCTTTAAAGTAGAGACACTACATACTGATATACACCAGAACATCAGCAGGAGAGGACTCTTTAAAGTAGAGACACTACATACTGATATACACCTGAACATCAGCAGGAGAGGACTCTTTAAAGTAGAGACACTACATACTGATATACACCTGAACATCAGCAGGAGAGGACTCTTTAAAGTAGAGACACTACATACTGATATACACCTGAACATCAGCAGGAGAGGACTCTTTAAAGTAGAGACACTACATACTGATATACACCTGAACATCAGCAGGAGAGGACTCTTTAAAGTAGAGACACTACATACTGATATACACCTGAACATCAGCAGGAGAGGACTCTTTAAAGTAGAGACACTACATACTGATATACACCTGAACATCAGCAGGAGAGGACTCTTTAAAGTAGAGACACTACATACTGATATACACCTGAACATCAGCAGGAGAGGACTCTTTAAAGTAGAGACACTATACAAAAGTAAGAAATTATAGTTATAGAAGTTGCTAAGAGAGACTCTGGACTTCTTTATAGGAGCTGTAGAATAATACCTCTCCACAGGGAGCCTAAATGATCCGTGCAAACTCTGGAAAGCTTTTGCAGAATATATTCTAAACAGCATGAATTCAGTAATGAGACTGAAATAAGTTGCCTTAATGTTGTTTGCCCTCTCCACAGCTTCCTGAGGACTCTGACTGTGTTCATGTATCTTTGATTGCGGCCGAAGTGTGTTCTTGGTTGGTAGAAAGTCTGCTGTTCATGTTTTCAAGTTGTTTGGTTATTTGTCGCTCAGACGGGAAGTAAATAAGCTGCTCGACAGCCTCTTAATCACACTTTATTTAGGAGTTCAAACGTTGTTACATTCAAGGATTTTGTGAGGTTTTCAACAAGAAGCTATTATTTTCCTTTGTGATTTCATCTTGTGTGTTCGGCTACTTATATACACAGTTCTCCCTCTTAAGTACTGTTTTTCTTCTCCTTGTATACACTTATTTCCCCTCAGCCATCATTATACCACCACATCATCTCAATATCAATGGGTATACAAATAGTCCAAATACTGTGTTTCTTTTATTCTGACGGAGCTGTTTGCTGGCTAATCAGAACAGAGATTTAAAACTCTTCATGTAGAGAGACACACGCAAGAGTTCCTCCTCTGCCTCATCTCTTTCTTTACTCCTCTTCTGGTTAAAAATACCAGAGAGACTCGCAGACAATGAGCTGGAAACACAATGACTCTGAATCACCCATTGATTCAGAGTCATTAGGATGGATAGAATTATGAATATGAATTAAACGTCTGACTTACTTGGGTTCATTTGGTTCACACTGAACTGCAGAGGTGTAAAGTAACTCAGTAGATTTACTCAAGTACTCAAGTACTGTACTTAAGCGCACTTTTGAGGTACTTGTACTTGACTAGGCCATGTTATGCTACTTTGTACTTATACTCCACTAAAATACTGTTTAATACCTTTAGTTACTTTACAGATTTTACTTAGTACAAGTACAAGATCTGAGTACTTCTATCTTTACTCAAGTACAAGATCTGAGTACTTCTACTTTTACTCAAGAACAATATCTGAGTACTTCTTCTTTTACTCAAGTACAAGATCTGAGTACTTCTACTTTTACTCAAGTACAAGATCTGAGTACTTCTTCTTTTACTCAAGTACAAGATCTGAGTATTTCTACTTTTACTCAAGTACAAGATCTGAGTACTTCTACTTTTACTCAAGTACAACATCTGAGTACTTCTACTTTTACTAAAGTACAATATCTGAGTACTTCTACTTTTACTCAAGTACAAGATCTGAGTACTTCTACTTTTACTCAAGTACAAGATCTGAGTACTTCTACTCAAGTACAAGATCTGAGTACTTCTACTTTTACTAAGTACAATATCTGAGTACTTCTACTTTTACTAAGTACAAGATCTGAGTACTTCTACTTTGACTCAAGTACAAGATCTGAGTACTTCTACTTTGACTCAAGTACAAGATCTGAGTACTTCTACTTTTATTCAAGTACAAGATCTGAGTACTTCTACTTGTACTCAAGTATCAGATCTAAGTACTTCTACTTTTACTCAAGTACAATATCTGAGTACTTCTACTTTTACTCAAGAACATGATCTGAGTACTTCTACTTTTACTCAAGTACAAGATCTGAGTACTTCTACTTGTACTCAAGTACAACATCTGAGTACTTCTACTTTTACTCAAGAACAAGATCTGAGTACTTCTACTTGTACTCAAGTATCAGATCTAAGTACTGGTAACACTTCTGTTCCTTCAGAGTCAAATTGAGTCCCTTTCTTCCGAAACCTTCTCTTATGTTTCTCTCACTTTCATTTGAGAGATGTGCTTTCCCCGGTTCCCTTTCTTTGTGCGTCAGTAAAACACGTCAGTAAACACCTGACCTCCTGTCCTCCTGTCCTCCTGTCCCTCCTGTCCTCCTGTCCTCCTGTCCTCCTGTCCTCCTGTCCTCCTGTCCTCCTGTCCTCCTGTCCTCCTGTCCTCCTGTCCTCCTGTCCTCCTGTCCTCCTGTCCTCCTGTGCTATCATTACATGGGAGTGTTATTACGGATGTATTTGAGCAATCACCAATCATAGAGCCTTTGTGTTTTCTTTGTCTTTATATCGTCTACATACGTGTTTCCATGCATTGGTGTTAACGTCAACGACACCTTGCATTGGCACACATATAGCACATCTGTGTTTTATGAATACATCCAGCTGCAGCACCGACTGTTGTACGAATGAAGTCCTGAAAAACATGCCGATCCTTCATTGTTTATTTTAGAGCTTCTCTTTTCGTTCAGACGATGTCTCCAGGATGACACCGAGCTTCCCCCTCATCCATCTCTTTTGGGATCTTTGAAAAAGGTCAATATTCTCTGTCTCTCATGTCGGAGAACAATAGAGAAAAAGAATATATTTGTTATATTAGAAACAACCCATGAACTATTTTAGAAGTTAAAGTCAAAGATAATTTGTTGAACTACAAAGAGGTCTTCGCCGAACCCCAACATGTTTAATAATTCCCAGACGACGACAGAGATGAAAGCCACCTCTTAATGAGGAATGTTCCAGACGTCTGAGCATTTGCATAATTACAGACGTGCATTTCAAACGTTCTGTTTTCTTTGTGGGAAAGTTGCAATTACAACTTTTCTGCAACATGTAGGAACACATACTTTATAAAAATAGCATTCAAAGCTGTTTTCAGACTCTGGACTATGGAGCTTTCCTTTTTATCTCTGTGAAATATATTATTAAAAAGGTATATATTTGGGTTTTTAACAGACAAAACAAAGTAATACAAGTCGCACTTTGGAGTTTGAGGAAGCAGGGTGGACATTCGTAACTTTTTTCTGACTTTTTATACATCGAACTATTTACCAATTAATGAAAGAAAAATAATCTGCAGATACATCAAAAGTAATACTTAGTCTTCATGGGGAAAGTATATTTTGAAGTCCTCAATATCATAGCTTGCTAACAGCTGCATTTAAATGAAAGCAGGCATCTTGCCAGCCCTACAGGAACTGATTTGGAAGGTAACCATTTGTTCCACATCCTGTTTATTGATGGTCCACGACTATCGTCTTTCCAACAATTTAACCACTTCCACATCGACGAAGCTCTTCGCATCTCTGTCATGAATGTCTAAAGAGATCGTCGCCGTCCTCATCGAAATGCTCAAGTAATGTCACATTTTCTCTAGCTTGGGAAAAAAACAATTTTATCAATTTACTTTTGGTACCTTTGGTATTTTTGGTACTGTTAGAGAATATTTCTGTCTTACTCCTAAGTGTCAAAGAATAATTCTTCCTTACTCCTAAGATATTTAACCTTTCTGCCTGTTGACATTTAGGACGAACCCTAAGTCTGTTATCTGTCTTAAGGAATGGGAAGTCTCAGCTATTGTTGACATTACCAGTTTTTATGACCGGTCAACTCTCGGTCACAGAACCAAAGAGTCAGATAAGTGATTCAGTGTCTCCAGGTGTTCACGTATACCTTCCCCAATATGTGGGTTGACTCTCTGTAAACTAGTTAAAGGGTCTACCAAGATGCGAGGCTGATCAGAATTTACATGGCAACCCACCCATGCAGTCAGAACCTTTTGCTGCTGTGACTTGTGATATGAATTCTCTGGCCGTTTGACTTGTAATAAACTACTAGTGTTTGACATCAAAGCTCCAACTCTCCTCGTGTCTCTCTGAGTCCTGACTCTCCATTGCTGCAGAAGTTTCCCTTACAGGTACTTTTGGAACTTTTGGTACTTTTGGTATATTGTTGATCAGCCGTGGTTCATCTGTTCTGGGTTGGACAAACGATAGACGCTGCCACAATTGTGAAGAAAGTGAGGGGTGCAAAACATTCCATTTCTAAACAGAAATATATGTATGTTGCTCTACATTGCCTAACTTTCATCTGATTGTTAAAAGTGAGTAATCTTTCTCTCTGGAGTGATGGACGCTGCTGGTACATGCAGAAATGCTCAATAAAATACAACATACAATAAAAAATGTATTTGATATATTATTAGTTTAACAGATTCTTCTCACTGATTGATCCAAATATGGCTCTTGAAAAAAAGTCAATTTAATGTAAAATAATGATGATGGGTGCAAAACATTACATTTCTAAACAGAAATATATGTATGTTGTTCTACATTGCCTAACTTTCATCTGATTGTTAAACGTGGGCGTTGTTGCATCAGCAGTAATCTTTCTCTCTGGAGTGTGAGGTGGTTTTTCCAACCATTTAACCACGTCCACATCGAAGAAGCATGGCACAACTCTGTCATGAATGTCTAAAGAGATCGTAGCCGTCACCGCTCACATCTAAATGCTCAAGTTATGTCACATCTTCTCTAGCTTGATCAATTGAGTCAGACCGGAAAGAATAAGCCAACTAAAAAGTAACTAATAATCAATTCAATGCGAGATAATGATAAAATGCTTATCGAAAGAACAATTGTAGAGAGAAAGTGAGGGGTGCAAAACATTCAATTTCTAAACAAAAATATATTTACGTTGCTCTAAACTTTATCTGATTGTTAAAAGCGTTGTTGCATCAGCAGTAATCTTTCTGTCTGGTTTGTATGAGGTGGTCTCACCACAATTTGTAAATTCAACATGCACAGTAGGGCTGAACGATATACCGTGTCATGGCGATAACCGCGATATGCGCATGCGCGATATTCACACCGCAGGGACGTGCGGTTTTATTCATTTAAAAAAAAAAATGCTAACGCGCTTTAGCACAGAATTCAAAATAAAGATACCCTTATTACTTATCGAAACTGCACATACAATATATCCGATTAAAGCTGAGACTCCACAGATTATTTAAGTATAGTATCTAAGCGATCCGATCTCGCAACAGGGGAAGCAAACACAGACATCACAACACGTACCTTTTACGGAGCTTTTACGGGAGATCGTCTCACCGTAGCTGTCAATCTGATCAAAATACGTGTTCAATGGCATTAAAACAAGAAAAAACGCGGCTGAATCGGTTGATCCATAGGTTGATAATGTTTCTGTGGCTTTGAAGCAATTGTTTATAATCCATAATTCCATTTTTATGTAAAAATCGGAGCAAAAACGTTAGCTGCTAATGGTAGCCACCAGAGTGTATGCAGCTTCCGGTTTTGGCTACGCGTCACTCTCACTCCTTATTTGGTAATGTATGTATTAGACTGCTGCATAGCCAAGACCGGAAACAGCAGCCACGTCTTTTGATCAGATTGACAGCTAAAGTGAGACGATCTCCCTAGAAGCTACGTAAAGGTACGTGTTGTGATGTCTGTATTTGCTTCCCCTGTCGCGAGTCCGGATCACTCAGGGATGATACTATATACCTAAATAATCTGTGGAACCTCAGCTTTAATCGGATATCTTGTATGTGCAGCTACGATAAGTAATAAGGGTACTTTTATCTTGAGTTCTGTGCCAATGTCCGTTAGCATTTTTCGCTCAGGGGTCATTTAGATGCTTCTTATGAGACTTGTGTTTTGTTTTGGTAAAAATGGTTTGTATCGTCAGTTAGCTGAGATTATTCCCGTTAATCTGGTGCTACACATTAATAGGTTCTTAAATATTAAGATCCCCTGAGACACAGTGTCGTGAAAAAAAAAGTAAAGTACCCGCCGGGACCTTGGGGCTTAACAGGTTAAAAAAAATGCAATATATATCGCAGGGGAACAAAAAACCGCAATGTCCGTTTTTTTCAATATCGTGCAGCCCTAATGCACAGTATATTACTACTTTCTTGATTATTTCTAGTCTTTTACATTTGTATTGTACAATGCTTTGTCTTTTTATGCTGCTGCAACACAAACATTTCCCAAATTGTGATAAATAAAGTACTTCTTATCTTATCTTACCTGAGCAGGAGAGTAGAGTCGGCAGCGATGGTGTTTCTGTCCTTCATGACCTCCTCCATCTCTGAGCGGCGCCATCACCCCAGAACTCGGACCCCCGATGGCTCCTCCTCCTCCTCCTCCTCCTCCTCCTCCTCCTCCTCCTCCTCCTCCTCCTCCTCCTCCGACCCCTGACCCCCCCGCCGCCGCCCCCCC